TTCTTCATAAATTCATACAATAATGCTTCCAAGTCTGAAAAAATATACAAAATTCTTCTGAGTGTTATTTCAGGTGTAGATTCAGACTTCTCCTTTAAGACCCCTCCACTTGTGGTGATGAGCCTTGAGAGTTTATAACTCTCAGACTTTGCAGTGAGAGTTTTCAGAGAAAGAGAGAGAAGGCAAAAGCTGTTTACCCTATGGTAAGATCTCTCTGGCTGTGTTCAAACCCAATCTGCCCACAAACTTTGTATTGTGGCCTTCATCTGAAAACATGTTGATACAGTGACTCTAATCAAGTAGCTTGTATTCTTTGCAAATGCAACAGTTTTACTGCTGTAGCCAGCACCCCATGCTTTAAAATTCATTCTTTTCAAAAAGTTCAAGTTATATCCAGCTGATTACATCATAAATTTATATTTTCTATAACATATTTTCATAACTAAGTCAACTGATCAATACTAAATACAGTATAAGTGCATAGCTTTATTTCTAAGGACCCAATGGCTATGGTAACCAGCTAAGAGTGATATATCAACTGATTAATTTTGAAACAAATTGTGGGAGAAGGCACAATAGTTTAATGTATGTTACTAAGAAGGAGTTAAACCTGTAAACTTATTTACCAGCATGACACTGAGCTAAGAACTCAGGACTGAGAAACAGATTGGAATAGTATACACAGAAACACAGAACAGGTCAGGAAGAACTGTGGATAGTGAACAATAGATATTTCAGTACCGATCCTTGAGGAAGGAATTCACTGAAATGCTTTCTCTGTTCTCTCCACAGGTGCTGTCTGATCATCTTCACGTTGCCAGCATTTCATATTTTCAGTTCAGATTTTCAGAACTTGTGGGATTTTACTCGTTCAGACATTAGTCTATTTGTTTTAAGTTTGAAGTTCTCTGCATAATCTGAACTTTTGCTAATATCGTATTATTTGCCCCTAAAAGATTGCAATATTCTGTTTCACTATGAACTTAACAGTCCATTAAATAGGAATGTCAAAGTTATATTTCTGCAGAGTGTGGGAAATTGAAGCAACTAATTATCAGCATCTTTACAACAAAATGCAATCAATCAGGTATATGTAGGAAGCCAATAAAGGAAAAAAAAAGTTCACTTAATGAGATGCAACTTTGAAAAGGAGTGGGATGCAACTAAAAATGGCCTACTAACACCAAACATTTTGCAACAGTTATCTTTATCATAAAGAAGGAAATTGTAGGGTGTTTTTAGAAAATGTGTAAATATTAAATATTAAATGGTAATTCCACAATCTCATGTTTTCAGTGGGAAACTGCTTTTATGGGAAGTCTGGTGCGAAGATGTGACTAGCATATCATAGCCCTGATTTTCTGACTTGCACTCCTTATGATCAGAACTTTCTGATGGGATGGAAGATAATCATGTACTTATCAAAACTGCCCTTACCAACCCAGTGCCAGTTAGCAATAAATAATGACAATCATGGAAACTCAAATGATGATGTTATCACTGCTGCCCTTGTTAAATGCATTGTACACTGTAAACTAAATGATTAATTCAGTAAAACAGAAATGGGACAGACATGGTATATACTAAAAGGATAATGGATTCCCATTGCTCGTTTTGTCATATGGAAGCAATATTTGCTTTTAAAAATCTACTGAAACATGTTGTAGATGTGCAGTTTAGTCAGAGGCTTTGAATCCTAATTTAATTTTGTTTTAATCATAAAGCAACTAACCTGCTACTGACAGAAAACAAAGTCCATGTTACCACCAGTTTGTCCATATCAGGTTAATTTGTGTTAACTGAAGCTTTGTCAAATCATACTGTTCAAATAGAACACTGATCATATCACTACAGACCAGCCTTAACATCAATAGTCTGTTATCACCTGGCCACACAGTGACTGTTATTAATAATTCCTTCAACATGAAATGCTGGAGTACAAAATAAATTGAAGTTCATTTCTAAGACCACATTGCAATCAGCATTCACAGCACTGTGACATTACCCAAAACAGGATGCTACAGCAGCACAATTTTCATTGCATTTTTTATTTTTTTACAGGGAAGCTGAGAATCCTTACAGTGCAGATGGAGGCCATTCGACTTATTGAGTCTGCGCTGACCTGCCGAAGAGCATCCGACCCAGACCAACCCCCACCCTGTCCCCATAATCCTACATTTCCCATGGCCAATCTACCTAGCCTGCACATCTTTAAACTGTGGGAGGAAACCAGACCACCAGGAGGAAACCCATGCAGGCACAGAGAAAACATGCAAACTCCACAGTCACCCAAGGCTGGAATTGAACCTGGGTCCCTGGTGCTGTGAGGCAGCAGTACTTGTCACTGTGTCATCTCCTCTGGCTAAAAAAATCCTCACATTTACATTTTATCCATTTTCACATTCATAACTATCAAGCTAACGTTAGGAATGAAACAATAATTTCTTCAATATATGGCATATTTATAAACCATTTAATTTTACAAGAAATTAACAAAAATAAATTATAGAGAACACTAAAATGGATCTTCCAAATGAGGTACGCCAATCAACAGCAAATTACATTTATAATGCTTCAAAGGGCATTCAAAAAAAACGAATACCATTCAAATGAAAGAATAAGTTATTAGAGGGGGAGGGATCAAAAGGAGAACTTCTGGAGGAATCTACAAGCAAAGTAGGCAACAGAGAGGCAGAGAAGTATAAAGAAGGAATTCTAAAAGATTGAGCCTACTCAGTTGAAGATATGATAACGAATAACAAAACAGGTTAGGGGAAAGCGTCAAGCCAAAATTAGAGGAATGGAATATTTGCAGGTGGGAAACTGGCAGGCAATGTGATATTCTGGAGATGAAGGAGATTACAGAATAGCAGACACAAGACCATAAAGATTCATGATTTATTTAATGACTTTTGAATTATAACTCTGACATAAGACCATAAGACATAGGAGCAGAATCAGGCCACTCAGCCCATTGGGTCTGCTCTGCCACTCAAGGAGATAATGAATGATCTGATCAGAAAACCATAAGACATGGGAGCAGAGTCGAATACAGTCTGCTCCATCACTTAATGAGATCATGACTGAGCTGATAATGCTCCCATTTTCCCGTCTTTTCCCTCTAAACCTTGATTCCCTAACTGATTGAAAATCTGTCCATCTCAACCTTGAATATACTTACTGACCCAGCTCCAACTGCACTCTGAGATGAGGAATTTCACAGATTCACTACCCTCTGATAGAAGAAATCTCTCTTCATCTCCCCTTATTCTGAGATTCTGCGCTCTAGTCCCAGACTCTCCAACATTGAGAAACAATCTTTCGAGATCTAACTTGTTAAGTCGCCTACATTTTTGTATGCTTCAATAAAGTCACCTCTCGTTCTTTGAAATTCCATTTTCTTAACCTTGCAATTTATGTACATTGTACACATTTTGTTGACTAATGTTCTTTACCACTGCAGCCAAGAAATAATAGACTAAATTTCATCAGTAGCATCAGAGGTGCAGAGCCTCATCCAACAGGGATACATATCAGAAACGTGGGTACGGATATCAGAGTGTATGATTTATGGCTGTACAATTTTCCATCCACTGAAGGTAATGATCATGAAATTAACAGTGGTCAGCAAGCTGGGCAGACTGGTCTCAGTGCTCAGAGTTCCATTTTGCATTCTTGTGATAGGAAGCATGATTTGCATAAAATAAATAATTTTCTATAGAAAACAGGTAGATCTGGAACACAGCTTCAAATTATATAATGACAAGCAGGGCTACCTTCCCTGCACATTGGAAGTAAAGGATTGAAAGTTAAAAATAAGGTTTAGAAAATAAAAGATAAAGAACATGTTTCCACGAACTAAGCTGAGATATTCAACCAACAGGCATATGGACTGAATGTGTTAGATATTAAAATAAAACGAAGAACTGCAGATGCTGGAAATCTGAAACAAAGACAGAAATAGCTACAGGAACTTAGCAGGTCTGGCAGCATCGATTCAGAGAAAGCAGAGTTAACGTTTCAAGTCCAGTGACCCATCTTCACAACCGATGGTATCCAAGAAAAGGTGTTATCAATGCTAAAGACAGGGGGGTGGGGGAGGGAAAAGCAGTGCGTGGATAAGTGGAGATGGAGCTCAGAGAGAGAGAGAGAGAGAGCAACATTTATGGAGACAAAGGGATGGATAATGATTTGCTCAAGAGAAAGAAAAGGTCATAATGGGAAAGATAGGTAAAGAAAACAGGTTTAATGTGCTGAAAGCAGCCCATGTCATCAGAGATAGACAGTAAAGCTGAAAAACCAAACCACAATGTTTCTATCAAGTAAATTACTCAAACCATTTCATATATCCAAAAGATCTGATTTAACAATTTACTTAATTACCATTTCACACATTTATTTTAATTAAGTTTTAATACGAAACACAAATACCCAAATTCACACAAAATTATAATACTTAACAACATAAAAAATATTTCTTTTTACAATGAATTAACTTTCACATGTTTTATTGTACTTGGCTTGACTCTAATAAGATTTACAAATTTTCTATATAATTTCTACTAAGCATTTTCTAAATCCTTAGTGTCAGTCTCAAAATCTCAGGATCAAAATCCATATTTTCACGTATTTTTTCAACGTTTGTTCTTACTCTGAACATTTCGTTATCAGTGTTAATGAAAACGCCTGCAGTATCTATATATTGACTACATATATATTATATATATTCTCATTATTGTTATTACTGGCATTTTCAATATTAGTTGAAACATCAAATGTTTCATGATAGACCACATCAGAAGTTCTTTCTTCTTGAGCCAAAAAGAGGTTTCTTGGTGATCCAACTCAACTCTTATATTTTCTACTCTTTCTCCAGTTATGTTTTGGTGTGGCTGTTGTTAAATATGAAAAACATTTGGTGGATCAGATGGCTCACTTAAGAATGGCATTAAACTTTTCTATTTGGGCGACACTTTGAAGGTGGCTCTTTTTCCACTTTGTTACACCACAATATTTGCATACTTCTGAATATTTGCCAAAATCATACCCTTTTCTTGCAGCACTAGCTCTCCTGGCATTCTGTCACCAATTGACAACTTCTTGCTTTTATGCTTTAGCCTCTTCATTTTCTCCTTTTCTAATTGCTGCCTGTCACTTTTTGTCAATTTTTTTCGCTCAGCTTCCTCACCTTTGTGGCTTTGCTTTGTGCCTGTCATGTTCCCTTTAACAAGTAATGGCTTGTAGTGTCTCAGAAGAAACCTGCATGAATCTAATAAAAAATGAGAAAAAACATATGAAATGTGAAAGAAAGACAAGGACTGATGATGCAAGTTTGTCACAGTCTTTCTTGGGTTACATAGTTAAGTCTGGTTTAAGCCTCTTTGAGTTCATGGTATCAGTCGAGGCAGTGGAGGTAGGGTCACGAGATCCCTGACTCAGAGCCAAAGTCCCCCTGGTGGGGATGGTTAGATGTCAACTCACTGACAACAGATTCCTTCATTCAAGGTATTATCCCACAAAATTTGGTTAAGATTGGCTCAAGGGTCTCAAAGATTGCCAACCAACAGACATTTTATTTTTACATACAGTTAGTTGTAAACTGATATAAGATAAATTGAAGACCCAGTTAAAGAGTTCTTCACAAAAATAATCAGTATGTGAACTGGACTTCCAAATAGGGTAGGGGTCGGATTGCATTTTTGCTGATTTTAAGCAATGCGCTCTGAGAAGAGGCAAGTTTGCAGATGAACGGCACAGAGATGAGCCTAGTGCAGACCCACTGCTTTCTCACTTCTGCCCCAATCCCAATTAAGCCTGAGGCAGGAAGGCTCATGGGGGTAATGATTGAACATTTAAGGGCTTCATCCAGCTACGAATGGCTGGACAGTCACAATGCAGAAACCCAAAAATAAACAAACCCTGTCACATTTGTTCCCAGGGCAGAGGGGTGGTCAGTGTTCTTCACATTTAGACACTCAGGAGGAGAGGTTGCCAAAAGCCAATAAGCCCACGTTCCTGACATCACCCTATCCCATGGCCAGCCATCCCCACCCAACATCTCCACCTACTAACACGCATAAACATGCACAAACGCGCACACACACACACACACACACACACACACACACACACACACACACACACACAATTGCACACACACTCAGCTGTTACCAATGTTCTTCACTGAGCATGGGCCGCCCATGGATGTAGTGCTGGTAGCTACCACTGATCCCCAAGTGCCAGCATTGATGGTTTTGAGAAGCTGCCTGCCTTCAATTAGCTACCAACTCAGGACAGGGGTGTATTTCTGACCCCAGGGTCCTTAACCTGGGAAGGTCTTTCGACACTTACTTCAGAAGGCCTTCACTAAAGGAGGTAAACTGGGATCATGCTGACTCTCTGGTCTAAATTAAATTGTGCCCATAATGTGGGAATACCAACTAACTACGCGGAATGTGGACTAAGTTCTTCCTCTTTTGAAAGGCAGAAAATACCATGCGATCAGATGAATGTTTATGGGATTAAGCCAAGAGACATATTTTCAGGTTGAATTAACCAAAAGCGCCTCTGATATCACAATTAGAGAGCTCTTGGAAATTCTGGACATTCTGTCATATTCACAGTGCTTCCTCCACACGCTTCTGAAAATAGCTTTATACTATACTGGTTGCAAAATGTGAAAGCATTGGAGAAAGTGTGAATCAGTACAGGGCTAATTGGTGCTTTCTGGGTGAAGAGCCAAATTTTCTTTCTGTATCATGATCTTTCTTGTGATTTTGCATTCTCGCTGCTTTTGCTTCCTTTATACACTGTGCATTTACAGGAGTGAGTAGCAGTAACCTAATGTGAGAAACATTATCAGTTAATACCTTTTCATCGCTGACAAGCCACTTGAGTGTCTAATTAAAAACTCAATCCAATAACATTCAAAGCTTTTGAAACCCAGGAGAGTTTACATCGAAAAAACAAATGCAGTTAAGTAATTTTACAGGAAATGCCAGAAAAGACTTTTCACTTCTTATTGTGCAGTTGATGATATACAGAGAGATGGTGATACATGGACATAGCTGGAAAGGAGATGCAGTCCTCAGTTGAAGGACAGCCATCTCCTGTAACATGCTCTTCAAATCCCAGCTGAAGCTACTTAATGTAACTGATGCAGTTGAGTTCAGATTATCTCAGAAGTCAATTACTGGTCTTGTATTACTCATTGCTGTGTTTCAGCAATTCAGATCCCTACCATAGACAATGATGAACAGTCAGCCTTTCAATTTTCCATTAACATACGAAAAGTTTGAAAGGGAGGATTAAGGTTTTAAGTATGCATAAAAGACCTCAAGTAATTAATGAGATTTGTGTACACTTCCAGACAACACCAGCAAGAGCTGTTTTACATTGAAGAAAATCAAATGTCCTCTATCTTGTCTATAATTTATTAACATTCACAATAGACCAACAGAAAACTATGTAAGGAACAAAAACAAAGTTCTGAGGAAGGGTCACCAGACCCAAAATGTTAACTCTGTTTTTACTTCACAGATGCTGCAAGACCTGCTGAGCTTTTCCAGCAACTTTGTTTTTGTTCCTGATTTACAACATCCGCAGTTCTTTCGGTTTTTATATAGAAAACTATATTATCCCATAAATGTCATTAGAGAAGTACCATGATGCATTCGGACCACAATCTATCTTTTCTTCAGGAAGTTTTCATTTTGTATTCCCCAAATTTATTGCTGCAGAGGTTTTTTTTTAAGCATTCATTTCATCATCCTTCTTGTGTGTATTACATTAGGGATATTACTGCTGGGTAACTGAACACTGGCCGTTCAAGATATGCAAGGAGTACATTCTAATAAAATCACATTTATGATATGGAACTCCACCCACGGGGAACACCGGACAGGAATTCAAGCCTGTGTTCCCACTAATATTCTATCCATATGGTAGAATGTCCAAATTTCACATCATAACATTTTAAATTCTAAACTTTGAATAGATTTGTGTTAAATAAATGAAGAGCACGCACAAGAATACTTTTACATTTATCGATGTACACAACCACAAATATGCAATACAATGTTCGTCACTGAATCAATATCTTTTTCTCTCTACTTCACATTGTTATATGAGCACCATCACTACAAGGATGCAGCATTCAAAGAAAAGGTCCAACAGCATCTTCACAAAGCAATAAGAATGAGCAAAAAAAGGCAGATTTCCCAGCCTCAAACACGGCTCCTCACCACTACCGATGGCTGCCTAATGTGGCTCGAATATCTGATTTTCCCCTTTCCCTGTCTCCAATCCTCCCCAAGCAATCACGCTTTCTCCCTCCACCAACAGATGGAAGGCATTTCAACTTCTTCCAATGATTTTTAAATAAAACATGCCAGGATCCACATTAAATAATTCTAATGTCAATTTCCAAATAGTAGGTCCCCACAGTAACAGAGTTTTAAGAAATTGAATTGCTGTCTGACACATTTTGTTGAGTTTTTTGAGGTCTAAATATTAGGATATATAAAGGAGAACCAGAATGTGGAATACACATGGATTTCCAAAAAACATTTAATAAAGAGCTATACAAAAGATTAATACACAATGTAATAGATTAGCATGGATTTGGTCATGACATATTAACATGGATGAAAGATTGGTTAATGAATAGGAAACTGATAGATAGGAAGCAGTGAGTAGAGATAAATGGAGTATTTTTCAGTTTGGCAGGCTGAGACTAATGGAGTACCACGAGAATCAAAGCTTGATCCTCATCCATATACAAAATATATTATTGACCTGGATGAAAAGACAGAGTAGTGCATTGATATTTGCTGGCAATACAAAGCTAGGTTGGAATGTAGGCTGTAAAAAGGGCATAAAGAGGGTGCAAGGAGATGTACACAAGCTACAGGTGAGTGGGAAATGAGGTGGCAGGTGGAGAATAATGTGGGGAAATGTGGGACTATAGATTGGCTAGTAAGAATTTTTTAAAAGGTATGACATTCAAATATTTTGATGTACAAAATATGTGGTACACGCATACAAGTAACACAAAAAATTAGCAAGAAGATACGGCATGAAATTAGGAAGACAAATAGCTTTACAGCAAGATGATTGAGGTACAGATGAGATCAGCTGATATGAGAGCAGCTATAATCATATTGCCTATTCCTGCTACTAGTTCTTATGCTTTACTGCAATTGCACAGGCATTTGGTGAGACCATACCTGGTATACTGCCTGGAATTTTGGACTATGTAAGGAAGGATGATTTGCATTGAAGGCAGTAAAGCCAAGGCTGGTAGATTGGTCCCTGGGATGAGAGGCCATTCTCTGTAGTTTAGAACAATGAGAAGTCATCTTATTGAAATATTCAAGCCTGAGGGGCTTGACAGGGTACTTACTGAACCAGTGCTTCCCTTGGCTGGAGGAACTAGAACAAGGGAGCACAGTTACAGGATAAGGGATTGATTATTTAGGAAAAGCACGTGAAATACCTTCATTTTGGAATTCCCTACCCCAGAGAATGTACCATCAGTGAATATTTAAGGCTGAGATGGTTTGATTTTTGATCCCAGGGAATCAAAGTATTTGGAAGTGATGGAAAAAACGAGAGTTAAAGTCTAGGTGCAGCCATCATCATATTGAATGGCAGAACAGGCTTGACAGTTATATGGTGTTCTCCTGCTGCTAATTTTAATATTCTTATGTAAATAACAGAGGGCAGGAAGGAAGCAGACTATTTCAGCTACAAACACAATTTGGTCATGATTCTGAACAGAAATAATGCATGGTGTGAGGGATTGCACTAAATATGTGAAACCTACTGGTTTCCTTCAGTGTATCCCTGGAGTGTCAGAGGCTGAGGGGGTGACCTTATAGAGGTTTATAGAATCATGTTGGGCATGGATAGGGTTATAGCCCAGGGTGGGGGAGTCCAAAACTAGAGGGCATAGGTTTAAGGTGAGAGGGGGAAGATTTAAAAAGGACCTGAGGGGTAACTTTTTCATGCAAAGGGTGGTGCGTGTATAGAACGAGCTGCCACAGGAAGTGATGGAGGCTGGCACAATTACAATGTTCAAAAGGCACCTGGATAGGTATATGAATAGGAAAAGTTTAAAGGGATTTGGGCTAAATGCTGGCAAATGGGACTAGGTCAGATTGGTACGTCTGGTCGCCATGGATGATTTGAACCGAAGGGTCTGTTTCTGTGTTGAAAGACTCTGTACTCTAATCGAATGTCTGGTAGCCAAAGGTAGGGAACTAACACAA